TCTGAGTTCATTACAAATAGGAATTCTAACTCTCCATAACATCATTTGGGAAAGCATCAAAATGTCATGCAGTGTCAGAAAAGGGGCATCTTCATGCCTGCCTTTTCTCAATATATGCACCATCCCATACTGCATCCTCAGAACAATCCCAGCAGTGTAGGATGTTTTAGACACAATTTCAGCATAGAGCAGCCACTTGTCTCTGCTGCTGGTTTAAAATATAAACATGGCCCTTCTATACAGTGTCTTTTGTTTAATTGATTTTAAAGAGAGAGGATGGGAGAGAGAAAAATCAATTTCTTGTTTCACTTATCTATGTATTCATTGGTTGATTCTTGAATGTGCCCTGAATGGGGATCGAACTCATAACCTTCACATATGGGGACAACACCCTAACCAACTGAGCTACCTAGCCAGGGCCAGGCAGCTTCTTTTTAAACTATACAGCCACCACTGGAAATTCCCTTCCTCCCCTTATTTTATCCATTGTTTTCTTATACAGGTTATAAGCATATGTCCTTGGCCTTGAACAAGACTGGCAGAAGCATTGTGTACTCCTGTGAGTGGCCCCTTTATATGTGGCCCTTTCATAAGGTGAGGAGGTAGTGAGTCCAGAATCCGATAGAACCTTGGTGATAGATTTTTAGGACTTGAGAACAAAGGTCTCCTTCAAAGTCTCACTTTACTTAACAGTCTTATCCTACCATTTCTCCCAGGATCCAACCACTTCTTACCATCCCCTCTGCTATCACCACTTGGGAAGTCAGTCATCTTTGATTCTTCCCTCTGTCTCACGGTTCACAACCTATCCATCAGCAATCCTATCAGTACTATCTACAAAATAAATCCTGAGTCAGCTCATTTCTCTCTGCATCCATCGTGGTCTTTCTAGCTACCATAATCTCACACCCAAACTGCTCTCAACAGCCTGACCTCTCTACTTCCATTCTCTCTATCCCCAACCATTTCCCAACCAGCACCCAGGTGTTCTTGTGAAAATGTAACTGGAATCATATCACTCCCCTGCTTAAAACATTTAACTGGCTTCCCCTTGCACTTGGAATACAGTCAAACTCTGCTGTTCTCACCCCAGCCTACCTCTCCAACCTCATTTCTGGTCACTTTTGCCCTTACTGCACTGGTGTTCTTTTGTCTCTCAAACACTGCAAGCCTGTTGTTGCCTCAGGACCTATTGCTCTTTGTTTTCTGCCTGATACAGTCTTTCCCAAAATTTCTCCACTCCTTAACATTGAGGTCTCAGACCAGATACCTCATACTCAGACTGGTGTTCTCTAACTACTCTAAAGTAGTACTCTATCCATTCATTCTTTACTATATTAACCTGTTCAGTTTCCAACTAAGCCCTTAGCACTATATAGAATTATATGTTGACTGGCTTGTCTCCTCCACTAGAATGTAAGGTCCAGGAGGGCAAGACATTGTCTGACTTTATCAATATATCCCTAGCATATGGTAAGTATTGAATAATTATAGAATGAACCCCTGTTATTTCCTTCTGTAATAAACTCTGTAATATACTCTTCACCTCTTTCTCAACATCTGAAACCACAGGTGGCAAACACAAGTTCCGCAGGCTGAATCCGGCCCTCCACCTTGTTTTATCCAGCCCGGCACCTTGTTTCTACCTGGCGGCAGCACCAAGCTCCTTGCCCATAGTTAAGGAGTAGTTACATTTACACAGTCCTGAAATTACATTCGGTCCTTCAAAGGCAACCGTGAGGATGATGTGGCCCCTGGTGAAAATGAGTTTGATGCCCCTGTCTTAAACCTTGGATATCCCACGTGCTTATTTACAAATTTTAATTTGTTCTATTAACAAATTATATGCCTAGGATTCAGACTGCCTTTTTTAAATAGTTATTCATGATAGTCTTTATTGAATTGTGGATGGCCAGTTTTGGAGGAAATTGACGTCTCTACTTTTGTATCTGACAGGAATTCATGAGTTCTTGTCAAATATGCACAATTAGTTTAAAATAGTGCCAATATTGTTGCTTTTCTTAAAATTGTTCAAGTACAGTTGTCTCCATTTTCACCGTGACCTCCGCCTCACCCATCCCCACCTTCCACCCTTGAACCTATCCCCTTTGGCTTTGTCCATGTGTCCTTTATACGTGTTCCTTGGTGGCCCTTATCATGTCTGATGAGTTCTATGTAATTTTGCAGCTGTTTTTACTTAAGATCATTTGTTATTTCTGAGTATAAAAGCAACAGATGCTCATGTTAGTTTGAAAATAGTGTGTTGTGAAAAAATTTTAATCCTCCATAATCCCAGTACCTAGTTACCATTTGGTAAATTTCCAGCATAAACATTGTTTAAGCCATTTTAAGTAGGGGTTTTAAGTTACATTGCCTACTTCTGAAGCAAACTTCTTACAATGAAATTCTAATCCAATAAGGATTTAGCTTTCTTCCTGGAGATCTTTAAGCTGTAAACTAAAGAGGTTACAGGTGCTTCCTTTAAACTTGACTATTTTCATCTTGCAAGAATGTTAGTAGAAAATAAACGGAAGAGTGAACTCTGTTTTCACAGCCCAATTATACAGAAATCCGACAGTACTGTAATCACTGGAGAAATTCTGGAGACGTTTATGATTCTTGGCAGAGTGTAAAGAGTATTTTGGAGTGGACATCTTCTAACCAAAAGACAATTGTTAGTGCTGCAGGACCAGGGGGTTGGAATGACCCAGATATGGTAAGAATCTGAGCCCTCCGTGTTCAAACCCCTGCAGTGGGTCTGTTTCCTACTTGACATTCAAGGTAAATCAGAAAGTTCCTTTGAGCAGGCATGTCAGGGTGCCCTGGAAGGTGGCTTCTGTCTTCTCATTTGAATTGTTGTCATTCTTTGTCCCAGTTAGTGATTGGCAACTTTGGCCTCAGCTGGGATCAGCAAATAACTCAGATGGCTCTCTGGGCTATTATGGCAGCTCCATTACTCATGTCCAATGACCTCCGACACATCAGCCTTCAAGCCAAAATGCTCCTTCAGAATAAGGATGTAATTGCCATCAACCAGGACCCCTTGGGCAAACAGGGATACCTACTTACAAAGGTACAGTAAATAATGTTGTATGGGTGAAAAGTGGACTTGGCTAGCAACATGTTCTCCTGCCTTCTAATTTACAATTCATCCAAACGTTTATTTTGGTGTTTAAATGGCTTTATACCCAAGTTCCAAGTCTATCTTGGGCCTAAAGCTGTTACGTATGAAGATATGCACTGGTCTTCTGAGAATATATTTTTAAGCTTGATATAATCAGTAATGAAGGTTTTTGCTAGAGTCGTTATTTCCCAAACATGCTACAGGATAACTAATTTTTTCCTGTAAGGGTTAGTTCTGACAATAAGACTAAATTCCACAAGGCAACTTATTACTACTTACCAAGCTATCACCTATTTTCTCGGCTTACCTTGCAGGAAGACAACTTTGAGGTGTGGGAACGCCCTCTCTCTAGCTTGGCCTGGGCTGTGGCAATGGTAAACCTGCAGGAGATTGGTGGACCTCGTTCTTATACCATCAATATTGCATCCCTGGGTCAAGGAGTGGCCTGCAATCCTGCCTGTTTTATCACAGAGCTCCTCCCTACGAAGACAAAGCTTGGGTTTTATGAATGGACTTCTTGTTTAAAAACTCGAATAAATCCCACAGGTACTGTTTTGCTTCTGCTAGGTAGAAGCCAGACATTTTAAAAACTTCCTTAGCCCTGGCTCGGTGGCTCAGAGTGAGCATCATCCCATACACCAAGACTGCAGGTTCAATCCCAGGTCAAGGCACATAGATTGCAGGTTCAATCCCCATTTGGGGCACTTACAGGAACAATCATTCAATGTCTTTTTCCTCCAAAATCAATAAACATTGCCCCCCCATTGAGGATTAAAAAATAAAAGCTTCCTTAAAAATGTGTATTTTGTTGCCAAAGTGACTACCCCACTTCAGCTGATATTTCCTCATGTAAAATTTCACTACCAAAAAAAAATAGGGCACAAAAGGCCCGCTCAAAATACAAAGTATGTTTTAATAATTCTTTTGCCTGTCATGTGATTACATTATTTTTAACAAAATTGGAAGACTAATTATTGTCAGTTGATAAAAAAATGCAATTAAATTGGTGAATCCAGACTTAATCACCTAGACACACAAATCTGGAAACAAACTGCTCCATCTGAGACACTTTCACTCACCAAATGTAGCACAGTTGCTTCACCATCGTTTTGCTGCACAAGTATGAAGAGCTGAGTGTATATATAATACTATACAAAAACAAGCCCTCATTGGTCTGGGTCAGTGGATTGAGTGCCGGCCTGTGAACCAAAGGGTTGCCGGTTTGACTCCTAGTCAGGGCACATGCCTGGGTTGTGGGCCAGGTTCCCCAGTAGGGGGTGCATGAGAGGCAACCACACATTGATGTTTCTCTCCCTCTCTAAAAAGAAATAGTATACAATGATGAAAGGGATGTGAATTTGAAACTGTTAGGCTTTAAAAAATATATATTAGCACTGCCAGGTTCCATTGATTTTAATTTAGAAATTAAATCCTTTTCATAAAACAAATTTACATCTACTAAACTTGAGGGGGCAGGTCAAAATGTTCAGGTGGTATGAGAAGTCTGAAGACATGTAATACATAGCATGATGGTGCCTAGAGAACAGGGCCCAAATTCCTCATTAAATGACTGAAGTTGCAGAGGCATGTGAGACAAATTATTTCACTCTTGGTAAACTTTACATTCACTATGGATATAACTGTTACTGAGCTCACCCTGTATCTCTACTTACATCCCAAGATAAGCAATAACACTTCATAAAAGCAAAAGGTATCCCATGAAGCCGAGTGATTCAAGTGCCAAACTAAACCATCACATGTGAGTCCAATCAGATTCAATTCAAAATGAGTAAAGCACCCAAGAACCAGTAAGCATAAATTTCCCCTTGTATGACACTAATTTATCTGCCACCCAAATACACCAATGCAAACCACATGAAGTAAACATATCCTTATGATTTTATTGTCACATAAAACAAAAAATGAAGCTTAGAACTGGATCACTTGGCCCTGTAACAGAAAAGAAAAAAACAGTGAGTTTTTTTTCCTTTGCAAAGAACCTCTAACTCCATCAAGCAGTGTCTATGCCTACAGGGATCACCATTCTTTATTAAGGTCTCATTCTCCCTTTACTACTCATGCCAAAACCTTACACCCTCAGCTATGGATCAAGTACTTTAGTTCACAGGCTGGCACTCAGTCCACTGAGCCACAGCAGTCAGAGATCAAGTACTTTAAAAGGACTAGCCCTGATCTTGATGCCAGAATGAATGAGTGGGCAGAAATGTTCAACCTTACACCCCAAATTGTGTACCTTTCTCTTCTTATCTCCTCCCAGTTCAAAATGCTTGCATCTCTTAATAGCTAGCATTCTCTTAGATCTGCAGTTGGGCTCAACACATTCAAGCCTCAGCACAATCTTCTTTGTAGTTTTAGCCTGGAAAAAAATGATACCTTTCATAGATCACTGCAGAAAATCTTTCTTCAAAAATACAACTACATTGGCTCATGTACTACCTTCAAGCAAAGTGTTGCAAATGATAGAGTTGTGGCAATGTGTCATTGGCTATAGGTAGAAAACAGAAATGTAAAAACGCCAGTGGCTTTAAAGAGAGAATGTACTGGGTTGGCCAAAAAGTTCATTTGTTTTTTTTCCCTAAGATATCTCTAGTGACACTTAGTTGTGTTTAACTTCATTTGAAATAAATTTTTTTGCTTGATTGCATTTTGACAGCTGTTGTATCAGCATGCATGTAAAGAAATCAGAATTAGTGAATCTTTGTGTAGCCATTTTAATATTGAATATGGAAGAAAATAGGTCACATTTTTGGAATGTTATGCTTTATTATTTCAAGAAAGGTAAAAACACAATTGAAATTCAAAAAAAAAAAGAGCAGCTGTGACTGATCGAACCTATCAAGTGGTTTGCAAAGTTTTGTGCTGGAGATTTCTCATTGATGATGCTCCTTGGTCAGGTAGCCCATCTGAAGTTGATAAGCAATCAAATCAGACATTGAGAACAATCAACTTCATACCACATGGGATATAGCCCACATACTCAAAATATCCAAATCAATAGTTGTTGGTAAAAATGAAAAATGTGTCTTATATTTTATGGAAAAAAATAAACGAACTTTTTGGCTAACCCAGTAACAGCAAAGGTGGCAGGTTATCTAATTGCCATCAAGTCCCATTCACATCAGACATCGTAGAGGGCCTTCTTATGACATATGTACTCATTATTAATAACACTTGAACTTGTGGCCATTTAACAGCTTTACATAGGTAACTATTCCACACAACCAAAAATGGATCATCCATGTCCATGCACTATGAATTAAAAAAAACTTTCACAATTCATTAAATAGGGTTAACAACTGTTACTTAAGATCTATCAATTCTCTGGAGCCTACCTACAATTACATCTAGAATTTGTGTATTCAACTATATTTTTGGGTATCCAACCCACGACCCAGGATGGCTATGAATGTAGCCCAATGCAAAAGTGTCAATTTACTCAAAACCCTTTTTTTTGGCTCATCAGTTTTCGTTAGTGTTTGTGTATTTAATGTGTGGCCCAGAGATGCCAGAAGGTTGGACATCCCTGCTTTAACTCAAGGTACACTCCCCATGAATACAACTTTAATTTAAGCCTGTTCTTATAATGAGAATTCTACCACTTAGTTTGCAGTTCTCAAAAAAACCCAAACCTAGCTGGAACTTCCCCATCTTCTGAACAAGTTACTTGACTGTGATTAAGGCAAGGATTCCTTTTATCACTTTGAGATGAAATCATTTTTGGCACCTGAATGATAAATGAACACTCAAGTCACTCCCTAATACTTGCTGGTACCAAGCTAGATGAAGAGCAAAGTGCCAAAAGAAACCGTTTTCATGGGAATGCTATTGCAGGCACTGTGTACTTTAAGGAGTAGCCAAATCTGGGGTAAAAACAAATACACATTCAGTCTGAAAATGACAGAATTCAAGAGGGTGAGGGGAGGCCTAAATGTCTATTTTAAAGAGCTTTATGACTTCATGAGATAGGTAGCAGACTCACTGCCGGCTTCTGAGCAGAGAAGCAAAATTAAGAGAATTCTTACTACAAGCAAGAGCTGAGGATTCCCTAGGACAAGACAGAAGCAGGGCAAAGAATATATTTGTGCACTCAAACTTCAATCCTTAGAAAGGCTGGGCACATTCCTTAACTTGATGTTTGCCTCTTCACAAAGGGAAAGAAAAAACAAACACTGCAATGGTGCAGTATTGTAGACTAGAGTCAGATCTAGGTTGTTGTACTCCTAGCTCCACTGCCTACTAAGTATGTCACTGCAGATGACTGAGACAACTTCACTGTAACTATGAAAACATATACCTTTATTGTACAGGTGTGTGGGCTAACAACAAATGCAGGGTCTTTACTAGTCAGTGGGACACATTTCAAATATTCATCACTACCCACCTTTTTCCGGAAAATCGGCTTAGTCTGCCCACCATAGCCACTCTGCTTCCTGTCATAACGCCGCTTCCCTGGGGGAAGTAAAGTTATTTGTTACAGTACACCAAAGATGATAAATCACAACCACCACCCAGAAAAACTTTCTTACGGTTTTTATCTTGAGGTTTTCAGCAGACATGGTTATTAATTAATACCCAAGCCAGAGGATGGCGGGGGCAGGACAGGGGTCTGGGCTCGGATATTATACTATTACCACAAATGCCAATTTCAAACCAAATCCCATACAACAGATCGTCTTACCCTGTGCATACAGAGAATCCTTGCCCTTCTTGTACTGTGTTACTTTGTGGGGTTGATGCTTGCCACACTTCTTACAGAAAGTCCGGCGGGTTTTAGGAACGTTCACCTAGTAAATAAACCATTCAGAAAGTGCAGTGTTTATCAGATGCCAATGACACAGCGCCGACCCAGTTCACACTAGGGCAGCCCACAAGGGCTCGACTCTCAAATCCCACGCTAACCCTCCGACTAGTAGGTGGTCCAGCACCATGTGCTTCACGTACTGCAGCCTCGGACGAGCCCCAAAGTGGAAAAAGAGCGTATTTGCTCCACTCTCGGTTATGTCTACGTCTGATCCCACCACTTCAATTCCTGGCCCTGAAGCCAGGTCCCTTCTGGGCCAAACCCGGCAACACTGGGTTTCTTTACTACAACGCGTCCACGAAGGGGCCTGGACCCATCCTGGATGGCACCGTCTACAGCGGAGGAAAGATTACACTGGATACTATGTGTCCCAACCCCAAAGTCCTACCATGTTTGCGAGAGCGTTAACAGCACGGAAAGGAAGAAGCTAGGCCGGAAACGAAAGTATATAGGAGGTTCCTAGTCGCGCTTCCTCATGGGAGTTCGTGAGAGAGACCATAGAGTCTAAGACTCTGTGCACAGCACCCTCTAGCGGCTGAGAGGACTCTAGTTGGTGCCGCAGACGGGGTCTTAAGGAAGGGCTCTGCCTAAGACTTCTCCCACCCTCCAGCAAGACTTTTCCTCACTTAATCACTTTCCGCAGACGCTGATTTGGTGCAGCATTAAGTGAAGGAAGCAGTGCTTTTTCAGCCACTCTGACTTCCATCTCCCTATTCGCAATGGAAGCCAGGACTGGGGTCAGGTGGAGCGGCCTTTCACCTCACGTTCCAATCCTGTTCCACCTTAAGGACACTGGGACCATCTTTTGCAGCCAGCTTCTGGTCCACTGAAGACTTGGAGGGAGCCAGTGCTCTAGTTCATCTGCGAGTATTGGCCAGTTCGTCCATTCAACAAATGTGTTGGGTACAATAATCAAGTAATCATGCTAGTAAATGTTTAATTACCGACTAAGTACCTTGTAAAACAGGAACAATGATCAGCATTAAAGCAGCCCATTTTTGTTGAGAGAGCAAGTTTGTTTGTCCTAGGCTCTGAAAAGTGAGAATGAAACTGTTCGGCTCCTGCATTAGCAATAATCAGGTCAAGGGATAGAAAGTATCCAGCAACTCTTCTCCTCTTTGTATACCTGTATGAACAAAAAGAGGGACCACATACTAAACCTGACAAGCTCGGGGAGGCCTGCATGGCAGGACTAACAAACTCGATGCCAAAAAGTAACCACAGGAAAGTCCAATCATTAAAATTCTTAACTGAACTAATTAAAATGGATAAAAAGGTTCAAAGCAGCATTACCTGGTTTCTCTGAAGACTTTCTTCTTCCCCAGTGGCCCACCACCAATGCTTTTACTCCAAATCTCAATGGTCTGGCTGTGTTAGACTCTCTCCGTTCTTTAAAAAAAAACAAAAAACATTGATACATGCAGCACTATTCATGGTTATATTTTAGTCTCAGGTAGAGCTAACTGTAATCAAACTGTAGTAGGATTTATATGAATAACAGTTGCTAATTTTAGGACTGGGTAAATGCTATGCCACTGGCTATATCTGGCTGAATTCGAACGGCATTTCCTGAGACTGTCTGCAGTCTATTTTGGGTCTTCGCTAAACTCCCTAAAGGGCTTCCAGGGTCTCCTTTCAATGCCTTCCTTTAAGTGGTATCAGGAAACATTGCTACCCATTTTTAGCTTCTCTGCCCCTTATCAGACAGAGGGACAGAAGAATTGGGCAGATGTTCACATTTAGGGCCACAACTATAACTTTAAGTTTCTGCAAGTCAGATTGTCTAAAAGTGAAGGAGTAATCTCAGATACTAAAGTCATCCTCCAGGAGGAACAGGGTGAAGAGCTATTCATGGTGTTTAGCATCTGCCTCAGGATGTGCTCACCTAGCCATTAGAATTGCCAGGACAAAGAGAGTAGGGAACTCAGAGCAGGCAAAGTCAAGAAATGGAAGTTTTTATGGAGTGTGAAAAGTTACTTTTCTTACCTTTCTAGCAAAACCAAGTTTCAGGAAAATAACTCTTTTTTAAGAGATATTTAATTTATTTTTAGAGAGAGAAGAAGGGAGGGAGAAAGAAGAGGGAGAGAAACATCAATTGGTTGCCTCTCCCACTCACCCCAACCAGGGACCAAACCCACAACCCAATCCAGACATGTGTACTGCTCAGAATTGACCCAGCAACCCTTCGCTTTGTGGAATGACGCCCAACCAACGGAGCCACACTGGTCAGGGCATGGAATAAAACTCTTTACTGTTTGATTTTAGTGACACTTTCTTCTGTAAGGTCCTGTGAGTTGTATCTATCCTTTATCTGGCACTATTAAGCTTTCCAAGGTATCTTTCCAGACCTGGTGGTATTTTGCAGTCTGTGGTCGCTGTTCTGGGACACTACAGTGACTGCCTCTGGCACAGATCTCTTTAGCCTGTCAGTATCATCATTCTTTATCCAGAAGAACAAAGGAACTGCACCTTTAAACATATCAGTCTGTTTACTGAGGCACTGGCAAGTCCTAGGGCTAACATGGAACCTTCCCTAGAGGGAATACTGGAGTGAGCTGGATATGAAGGTGGGTCAAAGGAAGTGTCAGTGTGAAACAGTGTGCAGCCAAGAGGGGGGGCCCAAATAGGGATTTGGAATGGGGTCCAGAACTCAAGGTGTCCAGGAAATATTAGAAAGATATATAAGATGTCCTCACCCCTTCCCCACACAGGTGTGAGTTGGGGGAAGGGACACATGGAGCAGGACCATGCGGAGCTGTTTTGTACCGCAACAGCTTTGCAGCTAACCTCTGGCGTGGTCATTTAACATACCTCTAACCTTTAACTGGTTTCATAGATATGTTAAATAGCTGTGGCAATGCCTTGAGCCAGGGGGATGGAAGTGACTTCCACCCAAGATGTAACTGGAGGGGGCAGCTCCCCCTGTTTACAGCACCTGCGTGAGAGCTTGGAGATGATTGGCTCCATGACATGGGGCCACACCTGCCCAGACTTACTATGGCAGCCTAGTAAACCTGGAATAATACAGGAATGCTGGCAGGTGTAACTGATTGTAGGAGGAGTCAGAAATGGGGGTCCAAAGGAAGGTTGATGCTGGGATTTAAAACCCAGATGTGGCAGCCATGACAGGAATCACCAGGCGGCTAGAGCAGAGAATCACCACTCAGCTTCAACAAGGAGGACCACTCGGCTGTGGCAGCACAGAGAGAACCATGTGGCTTTGGCGAGAGTGGGGACCCCTCAGCTTTGGGTGCTTCTTTTGGCCACATAGCTTAAGAAGTAAGAGAGACTTTGCCTGGAAGAAAAGGGGTACAAGGACTTTTGTTGGTGGGCCATGAGAAGGTGCCCCATGGCTTTGGATTAATTGGAGATCCTGATGGCAACACAGCTGATGATGCCGGGAGCCTGAGTCATGGACTTCTTTTCTTGAGATACGATACCCCAAATTAGGGCAGAGGGAGAAGGAAGGACTGTGTGCATCTGTGGGTATCTTACTAGACTTTAATATTTTAATAAAGACATTGGGTCACTACTATAAGTCTGTATAGCTTTAAACATTTCCTTTCCTTTTCACAAATCTCTGGCATTGAGAGACATCTTTCCTCTGGTGGCAGACATAGCAAACCTAGTGGCAGGTACTTTCAGTAATAGCATATCGTACCCCCCACCTTGGCCCTGTTCTGTAACAAGTGGGTGGGTAGAGGAATGAACAGAATGGCAGTTTTTTGGTTTTTTTTTTGACTCAGACTCCTAGAATGTTCACAAGATGAAGTTTTGGGGAAGAATATCATCTCACCATAGGTACTTTTACTTTTTCCACTTTTGTTATATATGTATTTATTAGATTATTTGCGTATTGGTATCTTTTATTAAAAAGGCCAGTGTGGTCCTGGCTGGTGTGGTTCAGTGGATTCAGTGCCAGCCTGTAAATCAAGGGGTTTCCGGTTCAATTCCTAGTCAGGGCGCATGCCTGGGTTGTGGGCTGCTGGGTCCTCAGTTGGGGGCGGGCAAGAGGCAACCACACATTGATGATTTTCTCCCTCTCTTTCCCTCTCCTTTCTTCTCTCTCTAAAAATAAATAAATAAAATCCTTTAAACAAAGGGTCTATGTGGTGTTTGGCCATTGGAATAAAAAAGTTCCTAACTGGGCACATCATCACAAGTAGTCATGTCCCAGGCCTATAGCTTCTTCAAGTCAAACTTTATCTTAAGCAAGTGCTGCCCATTGTTCTTATACATCTATAATAACATAGCTATGAAATGTCAGAGTAATTCTCTTTTCTAGGCTCCTCGAAGGCACCACCACAGGTACCAGAGCCCAAGACCACTAGAGCATAAAATCACAGAAGACCTCGCATACCATCTCTATGTACTGTAAATGTTAATTAACTATCCTCTACCCAGTAATGTAAAAAAAAAAAAAGTGTGTATTTCTCCATTTTGATTTGTATGCAGTCCTAGAGATTTCCCCTTTTTGCTTTCTCCTGCCTCCTTAATTTACCACCAATGAATTTCATGGACCATCCTTGAAGTTTTCTACTTTGATTGTAAATATGTAAAAGGGAATGCAAAACTACCATTCTTCAGAGCGTTTTCTCAGTCCATTGGCATCTTGCTTTCAAGCATGTCCTCAAAATTGTGGCTCAAATAAACTCTTATGAAACTTTCCTATAGGTTTGAACATTCTTTCATTGACACCTGGCAGAAGGCATGTGATAGGTTTCAAAAGAGTTACTCTAGTAGAAAAAGACTTCAGGGTATTTAAAATGGATTGTCATAATATTCTCACAGTAATTTTAGGAGGTAAGCATTACTATAATTCTCATCTTACAGATGAGGACATTGAGACCATAGGCTGTTTTTTAAAATTGCCAATTGTTAACATATTTAGTGGAGCCAGGTTACAAACACAGGTGATCTGACTCCAGAGCCTGGGTTCCCTTACCATTCATTATACAGTATGACTATTGTGGCCTGGTAATTGTAACAGCTGACAATTATTCAGCATTTATTATATACCAGGCATTTTCCTAACCACCTTATATACTACTTCTTTTAATCCTAACAACCCACACAGCTTATTCCATTATTATAGTATTTAACAGGTGAGGAAACTGAAACATGAGAGACATTAAATTTGCTTAACCAAAGTCACACAGATGATTATTTTGTAGAGCTGGAATTTTTTTTCAGGTAGTTTAATACCATATCCTTGCACTTAACCACAGCATCACACAGGGGAAGCAGGGGCATCTGTAGGGCACAAGAGGATGAAGAGAGAGAATTGGGCAGGGACGCAAGGGGTGAGGAAATATGAGAACCTAGGGTCTTCTGTTTGCATAACATCTGAGGAACACCCATGGGTCCCGAGCTGACTCTCTGATCATTCCATCCCCATTTTGTTGGATGGTCTCTGGGAATAAGAAAATAAAAGCATTACCAATACTTGCTACAT